CCTTCCTGAAACTGTACACACGAGAGTTTAGTCGTGTCGCTTCCTTCCTTCCTGAAACTGTACACACAGGAGTTTAGTCGTGTCGCTTCCTTCTTTCCTGAAACTACACACAAGAGTTTAGTCGTGTCGCTTCCTTCCTTCCTGAAACTGTACACACAGGAGTTTAGTCGTTTCGTTTCCTTCCTTCCTGAAACTGTACACACACAGGAGTTAAGTCGTGTCGCTTCCTTCCTTCCTGAAACTGTACACACACAGGAGTTTAGTCGTGTCGCTTCCTTCCTTCCTGAAACTGTACACACAGGAGTTTAGTCGTTTCGCTTCCTGATACTGTACACACAGGAATTTAGTCGCTTCGTTTCCTTTCTTCCTGAAACTGTACACACAGGAGTTTAGTCGTGTCGCTTCCTTCCTTCCCGAAACTGTACACACACGAGTTTAGTCGTTTCGTTTCCTTCCTTTCTGAAACTGTACACACACGAGAGTTTAGTCGTTTCGCTTCCTTCGTTCCTGAAGGGCTCGGTATAGTGGTTAGCATGACGGACTGTGAATTCTAAGTTCCATGGTTTGTGGTCCATTACCGCAAAAAAAAATAAATAATAACACACTGTACTTTGGGGCCAGGATGGTCAAATCCCCACTATTTGGTCTGAAAAATGTACTTCAGTAGTGCGATGGTTCGTGCTGATTAGCTGTTTTCCTTCTAGTGCATTGTTTTAGTTGAAGGTGAGATTTTATATTTTAGTTCATACTACAACTGAGGTTTTATTAGTTCGCCATATAATAGTGGGTTACAAACACAAGTCATTTCTTACAGTACAGGGGTCCAATATTTGCATCGTTTAATTGTTCCTGTCCAACTAGAATTTTAAGCATTTTTTTTCTTCTATTATACCTTGTCATCAAACATGCATGTCTGTACTCCTCCTCAAGAAAGAAAGAAAAAAGCCTAGTTTTAGATTTCCGTGGGGACCTCCAGGGGCGTCGAGAGCCAAACAAGGCCCCGGGGTCAGTGATATCGTCATCCCCCCCCCCCTTTATTATATTTATTAACTTTTGATGATTTTTCATAAAAGAAATTTAGGTGAAAAATTTGTATATGAATGCATGGAGAAGCAGTAGCCATTTTAGCTCATTAAGTAGTATGCATTTTTAGTGAGCTTGGGAATATCCCACGGCCGAGCCCCTCAACAGACTCCGGGGCAACTGCCCCCCTTATCGTCAGTCCTGGGGACCCCTGGCCTATTTTTTAGACATTGTGAAAAATATATATGAAGCCTTTAAGAAAAAGGAAGTTTCTGGAACATGTGAATAGCAAGATCCATCTGATCGAAGTGTGACGAACATTAACATGTCAGTGGAGAAATACATTTTGGTCTTAATTAAAACAGTAATCTCAAGTCACGTTACTTCTGGATTAATATAAAGATTTTGTACATTTCCAAGAATGAAATGGGGAAATATTTTTGTTTATGTTACATGTGTATGAGCATATATATTTGAAATTGTCTTTTAAAATATTCATATCTGCCACTGTTATAATGGAATTAACATATATGCGTGTTCTTGGATTGGACCAGTTAAAACTGATAAAGATCGGCTAGAATTCTTGTGAATTAATTGAGAAAATAAACTAATCCTTCCTTTTGCTTTGTTTATATATTCTTTCCAATTGGTCGTTTTATGGTAGATCAATTCGTATCAAATAGCGAACCACGTGCTACACCAAATGCAAATAACTAAATGATAGCATGTAACTTTAAAAAAACTGACCACTACGAAAGTTAAAATTATCACGTAATGTTGGGCAGTGTAATGAAATTTATAATTAGACACATAACTGAAATTTTTATGACTAAGTAAGACAAAATGATTTGGATTTTTAGGCTTAAAGTTTTATAACGCAAAACCATATTAGAAATGGAATTTTTACAGGTTCCAAACAGAAAAAAAAAAGTACCGACATTTATTCGGTTTAAAGTAGGTGTTTTATGTAGAGTAATACACACATTCAAAATTCAAGTATTGAACAATGAAAATCAAACCAGTATAATTAAAGTTTTGGGAGTTTGAAACAAAAGAGCTAAAAGAATAAATAGTTCATCTTTAGCAAACTAGATAAGAACACAATATAATAATAAAACATCGGAATATATTATTTAAAATGAAATTTTTTATACCTAGCCCTGATCAGGTAACTTTAGCTTTTCGACATATATTTTAAATATGGAAAAGAAAATAATATCTAGAGATTTTCATTTTGAAATACCACCTAAAAATCTGCATGTAGAATAGTAGTGTAAAATGCACGGCTCGGTGTATAACGGCTAAATGAAGGTAAAAATAAAACAACCCATACTTAACGTATAAGATGTCATCATCATAAGACTAGGGAGTTAGTTTTGACACACATACCTTCTTCAGATAACAAATGTGCCCATACAGCTTAGATGATATATGACTGGAATTCCCTTGAGAATACGTGATGGTTAGGTTTGGTTTTGTTTGTAATTTCGCGAAAAGCTATACGGAGCTATCTGTCGTCCCTAAATTAGCAGTTATTGATTAGAGGGAAAGCACACAGTCAACGCTTAGACTACTCTTTTACTAACGAAAAGTGGGATTGACCGTCACATTATAGTAAAACCCTATTGGAACTGGAATTTGTATAGGTGTCAAACAAAAGTATCGGTCAATCCTACTGTTTGTTGGTAAAAAAAAAGGGGGTTCGCGGTGGCTGGTACTGACAAACCGGCTTCCCTCTAGTCTCTCATTGCTAAATTAGCAGATAGGCCTCGAGTAGCTTTGCGCAAAATTCGAAACAAACAAATAGACCATTCAACTTTACGTTTTATGGTGATGTAAATATTAGGTCATTTCTTTGGTTTGGCCAGATATCACAACCAGATGTTGTTAATGTCTGTTGATGGAAGTAATTCACTTTCATACACCGAATCAGAAAGATCTCAGTTTGAAAAAACTCAAACTGTTATCTTTAATAATAATAATAATATTTACTGCAACGTTTATGGTAATTGGTCCTAGGTCATTCCCTCTCACCCATTATCGAATAGCTAGGGCCACAAGTTCTAAGTAGTGACTATGATAAAATGCATACATAAATTTTACATGCACTTAGTATAAATAATTTTACAGGCTGTTACCTGTAATTACCAATACGCTACTTCTGATGTCTTTTTGTTGTTAAAGTACACAACTAGTTTTAAGCTAAATTGTATGTGTAATTTATATATTAGGTAGTTAGTTTATAAATGTCGCTACTAAACGTAAATTGACATGTTGGCCGAGAAATACATTTGTTGATTTGATGAGTGCACATGCTAATTTATAAAATCGCCTCTTAGATTTGTAAGTTGTTACCTAGATACATGAATCGACTTGTACAAGTAGAAAACAAACATGTTTAATGAAACGAAGGTGAGTTATAAACTGTCACGTACATGACCGGGAGTGCAGCAAGTGCATTTGCACAGGGCGGCGGATTCTTGGGGGCGACAAAAATGAATATCAAAAAATTGGTTCTGATCACCTGGCCAAGCGGGCAGAATCGACATTCTACAATGAATCATACGGCTACAACATAACACTGCGACTGTCTACAGATGATTCATGGAAAATTCGAAGGGATGTGGGCGACAGAACACGTCGCGTCGGTTCTGGTCATGTACATTTAATAAATCAACAAGCATATCTTTCAGCTAACTTATCAATTTACGAATGGTGGTTAACATGTCTAAACTAATAATTTCCCCGAGAATTCACCTTGAAAGGATCATGAAATGTGCAATACATACAATTTGGCTTAAATTACACACAGTTTAACTTTGATTGCAAAGTTACACTTGGAACTGCATACATACAATCGGTCTAACAAGGTTTTTTGAAACACTTAGTTTTCATTATTTATTTATATTGCTGCATGATCAGGACCTTTGATGCCAATTGAAAATAAATAAGTGTGTTCGATTGAATAAAATCAGTATACTGTTGCGTCAGCGAAGTCACATGAC